AGAGTGAAATATGGCCAACTGTGTTAATTCTACTATATTATGTCATACAGTGGTGACCCAAATCTCCTATGAGACTATAAGTTTAGACTCTGGAATATGAAAAATTGACAAAGAATGTGTGAATTTTTTTTCTACTTAGAATTAAGCTATTCAATGGTTTTCTTAGTATCAAACAAGATCCAGGCAAAATAGAAAGTAGGCAAAAATAAAGTTATATCTCCCCTCTTACCACCCTCTTTCCTCCCTTTCCCCAGGAACCAATCCCTGAAGCCCCCAAATTCCAAATCTGTTAGTTCTTACTAAATTATTCATAATGGTGAGTCAACTGAATTCTCACTTTCAAAATGAAGGTTTTAATATTTAGATTTTTATAAGAATCAAAATGTTATACAAAAGCATTTTATAGGTAAAGAGTGGTAATTATGAAAAGGTACACATATTTTAATAGAAATTTTTACAGAAGCATCCAAAATAGATGCTTCCATTTCATGAAGGCATCCCAAATGAAGACCTAAAATTTCTGGATTTGGGGGAAGGTTGCCTATTGTACACTAAAGTCTTCCCAGCTTCCCTGAATTATTGTGTATAATTTACTAAGCTTAGAGTATTCTAAGGTCCCCCAGATGGTGCCATCTGTCCTATTTTAAAGTGGAAAATTCAAATGAATTCAGTCATTTCTAACCACAACTCAATAACCAGAAGCAAAAAGCAAACTATTAGAGAGGAAAATACAAAGTCCACTTCAAAGCTATTTACCTCGTAGTTACTGAGCAGCGCAGAATTGGCATCCTTCCTGCAAAAGAAAAGTAAATCATCATAGTCCGGGCTCATATCCCTTTGTGTGAATTAAACATCTGTAAAATCATTCCTCTGTCAAAATTCAGTAGTCCAGTTCAGGAATTTAGGGACTACAATCTTTAAGAGAAAGGTCCCAAGTCCTACTGGTTTAGCTGCTAATGGACAATTTCAGCCATAGTATATCATACAACCATCACCACATGAGTGATTAAAATATTCTACTTATCCCTAGTCTAGGCAGAAGAGAAGTCAGACATCTGAGAGAAGTTAGTTATAGAAGGAACATCAGAGCCGGGGGGATCTATAAACAGTGTTAACTGGAGAAACAAAGTATTGTCTCATCCCACAGCCATGACCTTTCCCCAGTACTATCTGCCTTCCACCAGCTACTGATATCTAGCGCAGCC